ATGGGGTTGCTTTCGGACTGGTAGCGTATTGCTCCGCGCAGCATGGGGTATGTACGCGGCGCACCCGTATCCCCATGCTGTCAGTGAAGTGCACCCTCGCCGTAAGAATCGCTTATGTATATCCATGGGAAAAATATTGGTTTATTTGGACGCTTCGAAAGATGCATTCGCTTATAACGCAGACTTGCTGTTACGCATCGCCTATAATATACATCCAATTATCTGTCAAACTATTTTCTTCGCGTTTAATATACGAATTAAGACATCCTTTCTCTCAAGTATTTTTTTTTGTTTTCGAAATTTTGAATCATATTTACTATAATTGCAATATTCTAATTACCGAGCCAGTTCCGATAATAAAATTGCCATAAAGACTCGTCCCTGTTAGGAAAGCGTGCAACGATAATTAACTGTTGAGAGATAATAGAGTACATACGCGGTGATAACATGTATTTTCGAGGGACTATACTATAAAGTGACGTTTTTCCACGGTTAGATATGCGAATGGCACGAGCGGTGCTTTTCGAAGGACATGCATGGCGGACACGTGTCCACTACGTCCGACACGTGGTCGCGTGCGCCAGGTGGTCCTTCCGCCGTCATGCATTACATCGTTAAACGGCGATATTCTGATAACAGGCCGTACTCCGATGAGTTCGGTAAAGTGACATTTTTTCGCAAGTTATTATTTAGCAGATCTAGCGGATATAAAATGTTCATGTTGCTTAAAGAATAAAAATCAGTAACGTCAATAATGAAAATTTGATATTAAAATTAGATTAGAATTAAATCTAGATTGTTTTTCTCTCTCTGTTGCTTTTTTATAAATAATTTTATAGAATTGCAAAATACGTAATGATATATTTATAAGTTTGTAAAATATATTTATAAATTCTTATTAATCATTTTAATTCGTCATTTTTATTTCAAATCTCTCTCTCTCTCTCTCTCTTTAATTATCACGTCGTGAGTGATAAGATTACAAGAATTATAAACTGTTTTTTGAATCAATCTGAGGATTTGAAAAAAATATCGTGAGAGAAGAAGGTCACCACGCGAAAACGAATGCTTTAATTGTACGATGTGGGCGGCTTGACGAGCCAATAAGGCATGACATGACTGATCAGTTTACCTCTTCTCCGTAAGCCGCGGCATACACATACACATTCACACACGTTTTCTTTCTCACACACACACACACACACACACACACACATATACCGCATTATTTCTCAACCAGATTTCCGCTACCTATCTTCCTATCTTTTCCGCAGAGTTCACACGAGTCAGCGGCGGCAACAGAGCGTCGCAAGGGGAGTGATACGTTATATAATAGGGGATGATTGCCATTTGACAAGCCCCTTTATGGCGCTTTTAATACATCTCTGATAGAGATAGGGTTTCGCGGTAATAGCGGTTGAACTGTCTCAATCGCTGTAATATTTTAAATATTACATTATTTTACATAAACAGATATATAATATAAGCTATAAAGTTAGCAAATAACAATAAATAATAGAATATATTCAGACTATATGTATATAATTTTTAAGCATTAACGTATGTTTTCATATGTTGGTGATATAGAATATAAATAATCAATATCTCTTATTGTATTAAGCAAAAAATTCTGTTCATATTCGATATATCTCATCATAATTTTTGTAATATATAATATGCTCTGCTGATAGATTTTATAAACATCTATCTGTTTTCAATAGCTTGCTTAAGGATTAAAAAAATAAATTAATATATTAAATTTATGTATATTGATTAAGTATTGAAAAAGAAATCTTTATATATCGCGCATCTTTTTCCGCCAGCTCCATTCCCATATAGAATTACAGGCAACCGCATTTACCGTGTCTTCTCTATACAAAAATCTGCTCGATCTGTCAATGCGGAAAATAATCATTTCACTTTAATAGACTGTGATCGGCTATTCATAGAGCCGACGCGAACCAAGTCAAGCGTTCCTATCCAAAAAAGGGCGCGTGCCAAAAGCGATGAAAAAATAAAAGGCTTCGATGGGCCTGATTCTTCTCCACGGATATTGTGTCTGGGACGTCAAACTGCAATCGCGAATAGTGTGGGTGTAACTTCCGAATAGATCTCGGCTTGTAGCCAAGTTTCAAAACTTTTCGTAAAATCGCACATTTCCTGCCTCTCTTTGTCAAAGCGTAGCTCGTGCCTACGTTTAAAAGAAGAATGCCTGCGATCCATCATGAGAACGCTTGTTAGAGGCTATTGTCGATCTTCAGGAACGTTACAAACACAAACGTCACAGTTTTGCACATTTGATATTGTGTTGTGTTTAATATATTATTAATAATTGTTTATTTTCCAGCACCATCTTAATCATTTTTTAATTTCTCAATAAAATATAGGTAATCGTCACATAAATATAAAATTATAAATATGCTCGCGTAATTACGCTTGAAATAAAATTAACTTGAGTTTTAGCGACTCTCTCGCGTCGGACATGCGCGGATTTATAGAATGCCGATTACGATTATTAAATTAAGAAGTCATTTGTAAATCGATTCTCAACGGTTACAAGCACATCGGTCGATCCCTCGCGCTGAAAGGATTACAGAATTGATTATTGACACTAGGGGTTGGTTAGTCTTAGTTGGGCTCCCCTTTCGCGTCTGGTGACACCCTATATGTTTGAACACATTTGTTGATAACCCCTTTTGCGATACTCATCGTATAGAATTACAGGGATTTACAAAGTACAAATAGAAGAAGTACCCTCTGCCCGCCCCGAGACTTCGGGCATGCAATTTTATGGAATAATATTCTGGCTAATACATTCGGTATTTCAATATTCCACGATGTGTCCACGTATTTAATAATGACGTTAAACTGATGAGTAGCGACCGTTAGCCGTCCACGCAAAAGGGGTGATTTTTAAAAATTGTGAAATTTATATCAACTGCGCGTGCCTAGTTTCCGTTGCGGCGGATCTTCCCCGCAGGATACCGACATGAAGGGTCGAACAAACGTTTTAATTTATACACAAACCATTGCGTCGCAATGTCCGCGTGCGTCCGAATAAAACGACGAAAGAGACAGTCTTTTATAGAAGGATTAATGTTTTATGAATAGCCTATCTTAAATTGTGAGCATTATATGTAATATAATAATATATATAATTTTATTTAACTATATATTGTGTCATTTCATTATGTAATTCAAATTAAAGATATATTTTATGTCAACGTAAGCTATTACTATTACTAATATTAATTCAATAATTACGCCATTAAACTTTAGTAAAGCTAGCCCACAAATGAATATTGAGTCATCACTCATTATTATTAGTCATCAATCGAAACGATTAGAATCGATTACCTAGATATTATAAAAATGTCCTTTATGCAATTTATCCTTTAATAAATTCCAGTGTGCGCGCGCGCGTTACAAACTTTTCTCTGCAATTTTTTAAATTCGTTTTGAAAATATCGCATTGAATTGAATATAGTAAAAGTATTAGAAAACCATGTTTAATTATATCGTTATGGCATGTATTTAGACATACTCTGTTTCCCCTCTGCCTCTGTTCTTCTCCGTCTTTTCTCTTCTCTTCCCTTTCCCCAAAAAATAAACCAAGGGATAAAGGAAAAAAAAAACACGATCGGAATCAAAAAGCCAAAGATTCTAGGCACGATAGTTGATCTATAAAATAGACTTATAACTGTGATATAACGTGTACATGTCTATCGTGAATTTGCAGCTGAGCGCATACGGGTGCCCTAATGAAAGTCCGTGGCACCACGAAATTCATCTAAAAAAATGTATAATAGTGACCAATGTGACACGAGAGACAGGTAAAAAGTGTATAAATGCTCCCGTATAGTGGAAAGATTCGACTCAGCGATAGGAACGAGACATTTTTTCCTGCCTTTCTCGTCGCTCTGCGCGAGAGCGGGCGCGCTCTTCGAGGCTAATTTAAATCAATTTAACCTACTACCCCCTGGCTTATAAACAAGACTCAATTGGCACACAATGAGAAGCCGGGAGTCCTTTGGCCGAAGGGAAACTAACGCACGCGGCACTTAAATCTTAAAACTTCCTACATCTCTCCTACGTCGTCCAAAAACATTCAAGAAAATATTCCGAATGACAATCCGGTATTTGATTCATCTCGTACGATATTATTCAACGAGAGCATTTTCCTCTTCTCAATTATATTAGTACTATCGAATATTAGTCAGTTAAGTACTATTTATGTCGATGCTTGTCATACCGAAATCTTATTCCCATCGATACCAGATAAGATTTTCGATATAATGTAATAAATGTGGGAAAACAAAGAGATTACGATAAGGGGCGCAGGTAACATCCGTGTGACCCACGGACCTGTTAATACCAATTATGTAATTAAATGGGAGCAGAGCTCACATTAAGGAAAACTTTTTTATGAATCATCTCACGATCAAACACTTCTGGCATATAAAAATATTCTACGATGTTCGAAAAATCGTGAAGACTTTACAGAAATTAATAATAAATTAATCTTAAACTGTGACGAGAGAACCCTTTTCTAATTCTTTTTCAAGCGTTTCTTGCTAATGTGAAAAATGATTAGCCAACGATTATGAAAACTCCTCGCCATCAAGGCTCGAGGACCAAAGAATATGTCAAGATACCCTAGGGACACATTAGAAGGGGTGGTTTTTTTCACAATCTATCTAAAGGGCGCGTTTTCCGGGGTGACATCGGTTAAACGCGGGAACAATAGATATCAGTTTGTTTTTTTGAGAATACATTATGAAGCCTGCAATGTTTTCATAGCTTCCGTCAGCGGAAATCGCTGTCCCAGATAAAATTGAAATGCAAAGTAAGCGATAAGCAAGTATAATATTATGTCCGTACGGATGATTTTTTCCTTGCAAATTAGTTTGTCAATATTTATCTAACGAAACAAATTAATTCTAACGAAACGCGATAGTAATATAATAAAGCATGATTTCGCATCTGTGTATATTGTAGAAATGCAATTTCAACTATCGGATGAGTTTGTAACCCTAACCGATTTACAAAGCAGCCGCGGAGGATTGACTCGTGCTGAATGGATTATGGAGTTCACGTCAGATCAGATCTCGGGCCCAGAAGGCAGCATCGCTTTGAAAAACCGGAAGCAGCCGGCACGAGCCCGGAGACGTGAGCTGGTTACCGACGTTATGACGTTCTCATCATCTGGCTTTCAAGAGTCGCTGAAAGGAGCGATCGTCGGAAATGTAAATGAAATTGCATCAAAGTGCGACGTGTGAGAAAGATATAAAAAAAGTCTTATATGGACGCGAAATTCTTTTAGTTTTATGGAAATGTAAACGTATCTCATTTAATTACTTATTATTATTCGTATAAACATTGAAAAAATAACCGTTAAATAAACATTATATTTAAGAATATGTATACGTTACAATTGACAGGTGACGGAATATTTAAAAGTCTAATGTTGCTGGCTGGGGCACGCGACTAGCATTGTATGCAAATGCGAGGCAGATGTACGGATAAGCCCGAAAATTTGTCCTTTTCGTATTATTCTACAATAAATTGTCATTTTGCAACAACTTATAAAATTAACTCAAGTATAAAAAGTATAAAAAAATTGGACAAATAAAGAAAAAATTAAAATGATAAAACTTTAACGCCCAATTATTGCGACTGTTGCTAAATTTAATTGATATTGTATTTTTATTAAATATAAATATATAAATATGTGTGTGTATATATGTATATACGTATATATATAAACATATGTATATATGTGTTGAAGAAAGTATTAAAAACTCATTTTTCTTCAATGCAATAAAGAACGTTCTACAAAGTGACAAGGCGAATTAATGGCTTGTCAGAAAGAACTGGTAAAAAATACTAATGGGCACGATCTTTTTCTTTCTTTCATAATAATTCACAATAATTGTCTCGAGAGACGAGAGAAGGGAGAGCGGCCGCGCGATCTCACGGCGCGTTTATTACGTAGAAGCTACGGAGCATAACGTAGCGTCGGAGAGATAGTGTCATGTACAGGAACGCATTCGCCGGTACACGCTCGGTACCTGTGTGCAAGTAACCAGAGTGTACTGTCACGGAGGCGTACAATAGGCCAGTTTCGGGACAATAGCGGAGGCCGACAATCAAATCAGCCCGCTATCAGCCACCCCAACCCATCAACGTTTATCCTTTGATCCGCTCAGTCGTTTGCTCGCTCGCTCACTCACTCGCGGGGCAGCAAACACTCCTGATTGCACACTCTCTGTATTTAAACAGCCTCAAACTGTTTCTCTCTCTCTCTCTCTCTCTCCTCTAACCCCGTCACTACCCTCTACCGATTCCCCGGTCCTTCCATGTTTAATGGATCTATAGAAGAGAGAAAGAAAGAGAGAGAGAGAGAGAGAGGAGAGGAAGTAGGGAAACGTTATCCAGTATAAAATTATTCTATATTCTAGCGACATTATAATCTTCAGAAATTAATCTTAAAAAGCTTACCGAAAATTCCGCGCATATATTTACATTTCTTAAGTTAACACATATATGTATAATGTGTTTAATATTTCTTACATTTGTTACCTTCTCTTTTATATCTTTTGATATTAACATTTGGTTATATTTATATTTTTAATAGATAATCAGAACCAAATATGTGTGAAAAAAAGTAAGATAAGTATTATCATTAAAAAATTAGCAAACTCGTGATAGCTTTGCTCACTTTTGTCGCAGTATAAAAGAATTATATAAAAAATTGAAGACTAAGCTCAAGTATAGAAGCTCAACATGCACCTGTGTGCACGTGGTAGGAAGTAAAGCTAAAGACATTGTGCTACACACACGTGTCAAGGTACGCGATCAAATCGCACGTGCGAGCAAAGTGCGGAAGTCGATTGTCACATACGATAAACCTCGTTCTATATGAGTAAAGTATGAAAAATGGACATTATTGTGTAAAGCATGCCGAAAATTTAGTCAACGATACTAGACATATTGCGGAGTTTCTAAAATCTCTTTTTATGCTATCTAGCAGTAAAACGAAGATTCTGGAAGCATAACTTGGCACAATTATATTATTATATAATTTACAGAAAGCTATCAGAAAAAAATGATAAAGATTGCAGATTGCACGTTTACACGATGTGTATAGGCAGACTAAATTACGTCAAAACGAATGCTTCTATCTCTCGAAAAGTTGCAACGATACATTCACGACACAGAGCATGTTTATCGTATGTCCTCTTTCCGGGATCGCAACTTCACAATTTCGAGAACGCGTTTACCTCGACAGATATGTTTGCGTCGTGGGTTCGAGTTCGATCGAAGCGTAACGGGCCGTTGTCTTGGATGCGGGTACCTGGGGTTGGAAGAGGCAAAGGGATAGAGAAGGTAGGAAATAGAAGATTTCTGTGAGGAACACCCTCTTGCCAGCTGATTATGAAGTAAGACCATCGCCACACAATTAATCAATTAACATACAATTCTTTCATGATCGGTAATTTCGAATATATTAAAAAATAAATATTATCTAATTGATTATTTAAACATGACATTTGTCGAGCGTAAAATAATTTTCCTCTAATTAATAACTCATAATAGTAATTATAAATCAACCGATTCGTAGTCATCGTCATATTCATCATATATATATGTAAGCTTAGATATGTATAATGAATTAAGAAAATTCTATTGATATTTACCAATCTTTTCTTAAAAATAAATCTATCTATAGAATATGTGTTAGAATTTCTCTCAGATCTCCAAATCAGAAGTATAAGAAAATAGAAATTTTTTAAAAAAGAATAATCTCGATTTTCGATGATAATTTAGATATATCACGGATAAAACGATGGAATCTTGGACCACGATGTTTGGCAGAAATCTCGTTGCCACAGGGAGGAACCTCCAGTGATCGATTCCTCCGTGGGTCCCGAGAGGGGTTGTTATCGTCGATTAGGCACCCTCGAAAGAGAAACAGCCGGCGATTGGTTAGCCACGACCACTCCCATAGGCGGTGCCTGCCGACATATGGTGGCAACCAAGATATACTAGCGTATTGCTGGGCACAATGTGCCTGGCGTCCAGCTAGTTTGCACCATGGTAGAGTTGCTTCATCAGTTCACACAGCGACATCGTGCCGCACGCATCGGCACGCATCTGTTCGTTCTGAACCAAACGTCAAAATCAATCAACATTTCGCGACCGCCTACGAAAATCTCGATTGATTCACTTCTCATTAAGAAAGTTTGAACATCACAAGTATTCTGAGAAACGACAATATGAATCTACAAACTTTCCTACATTGGTCGACTGTCAACACGATAGATTCTGAAGAACTGATTGTTTTCCATGATATCGTAACCGAAATGTTCAAAGACTTTGAGTCGCTCCAAGAAACTGTGTCTAGGTCGTAGTGAAGTGCAGAATTCGCTCGTGCTCCATTCGTGACCGGAAGTGACGCATTTTCCACGGTTGTGATAAATCGTTAGAAAAACATCCATAGTGATCGCGAATCGTTTATCGTGTGACTTGACTGTCAAAGCACCGAGATATCAATTACGAAATAGCATCGACTATGGTAGTTTTGTAAGTATCCATGATTGATTTCATAGATCGAGCATCTATTTTTTATTAATCGAATAGAAATAACAATGTATTCTCATTAATTTATATTTGTTCTGTAACTGTAATAAAATTACAATTACAGATGTAAAATATATGATATGATTTAACGAACTCTTCCGTTTTAAATTAAGATTAGTTAATTAATTTTAAATATTATAAGACATCAAATTTTCCGGAACTAGTTTACCACACAAATACAAAGAATTAACCATTTTTGTATTTGACATTATTTTTTTTTCTTCGGACAAAGAGAGAAGAGAGAAGAGAGAAGAGAGAGACAGAGAGAGAAAGAAGGAGAGAAAGAGAAACGTAGCTAGTATCTAATCAATGAGTATTTTGCTGGTTTCCCATTGGTACGTGGGCGTATCACGAGACTTGATTGGAGGCAAGGTGTTCTGCAAACCACTCGTTTACACATGCGCGTTTTATCAAATAATGTACGAGTGCGCAGAAGTTGCGCTTCTTCGATACTTATCATTTTACCAAAAATGCTTCTTATAATAATTTTAATTTACTCTCACTTTAAATAACTCGTACTCTCGAAAAATATATAACGATAATTAAACAACACAAAAATCTTCTTTAGAATATTTTAAGAATTGTAGTTAAAAAGACAATGTAATAAAATTATAAGAACACAAAAAACTATTTTCAAAAGCAAATAAAATATTCTCATTTGAATAATTACTGACAATAAATTGTCTAAAATAGGCTTTCGATCCTTACGCTTATTTTATTAGTCAAGGTAAAAGGAATAGTCAAGGATTCTAAATCGGAGAGAAGACAACCGTCTTCGTGAAAACTCGATTAAGATTGTATTGCCGCCTCGCCATTGATCACAGGCCAACACCTCAAAGACAGATTAAACGAATGTAAAACGCGATCCCCTTTTATCTCGAATCTAAGAACGTTCTCTTCCTGTCCGCTGCCTCGAAAGACCCTTTGAACCCGCGGTCCCCTTCGCGGAGCTCCTTTTCCCTTCTTGTGAATCCTTTTATATTCGACGGCAGCCGAATGGAAGCTGACAATTTACCCGCGGTATTAATTCAACAATATTAATTTGTTATTAGGAAGGAAAAGATTTTGCGCGAAATTTGTATTATGTACTTTGGAAAGAATCTCATGATTTATTATGGCTGATATCAACGACAATTACGAAAAATATATAATTAATCGATATCGGTTTCAAAAATCAAAATCTTATTTCGATAAATTTTTGCGCATCATATATATATCCTCAAGAATTTTCGAGTACTATTACGAATTAATCATCATATGTCGTGACGTGCGACAATCTAATTGCGGACCAATACCCTACGATCATAAGACGACCCACGTGCTTCCCTAAATTTGGCGCGTCAAACTGACAATGATTCTACTCGCATCCTTATCTCTTTTATCGGCCATTTGTTCGCCTTCTCTCTCAGGATCAGAGTGGTCTGCTCTCGAAGCGATGCACGGGAATCGGCAAAAAGTCGGATTTACAAAAATCCAGCCCGACCGGTTTTCTTTCGTTCTATCGCGTTTCATTGAGCTGCGACGCGTTTTATCAAACTTTTTGCATTATCTCGCAACTGTTCCATTCTGCTATTCAAGATCATGCGTAGAGACTCTACGTTAATAAATAGATACCGCCAGGATTGATATGGTATAAATAAAACGATTGAATGTAAATAGCGCATAACTAGTTTCATCAATCTGATTAATTTTCAAAATATTCTAAAAAATTGTCAAAAATATTTCTTCGAATTATATATATATATTTCTATTTTTAGAAAAATTTTAAACTTTTTGGCAGAGTTTTATTCTTTTTCTTAGTGGTGAGCTATATAATTCTTTGAACATTGCATGTTACTAAAAGTCCATTTAAAAATTATCCAAGAATTATCGTCACAAATAACTGTTCTTGTTCTTGCATAAAATGGCGTAAAAAATATCCTTTTTAATTTTTTTAACCACAAGTTTATGCACAATGAAGAGTTAATTACGAAATATAAACGAACAGAGCGTAAAATTACGAACCAGACAACACAAGTACCGGCGTGATATTTCCGGATAATGACAAGAGCAATAACTCGAATTAAAAGAACGGAGAATTAACTTGTTTAGAAACGCAAGATTAACTCGCAAGCTAATCTTGCGGAAAGATCCAAACGCAGCAAGGAAACAGAAACAGACAGTAACAAACGAAGGAAAGGAAGAAGAGACAGAAAATGAGAGAGAAATCAAGAGAGAGAGAGAGAGAGAGAGGAGAAACGAGATGAGAGAGGTAAAGAAAGAAAGAGAATTGGACGAAGACAGACCGAGAAATTTCTTCCTTTTCAGTATGCCCTTCGTGATATTTTAGTGGCCTTGTCGTGACGCGTATCTACTTTAATATCTGAAATTCTCAACGCACCCATACCATCGAGAAAGAGCGACAAAGACGTTTTTTCTTTCCTCCTCTCTCTCTCTCTCACCTCTTTTTATCTTTTTCTCTTAGGGATCACGGTACTCGAGGATGCACGCGTATGTTCACGCGCGTGTGCGTACGTCTTCGACTCCGGACAATCTTGGCGCACCATCGTCCGCCGATGTATCATCTTACTTGGAGCTAAAGGCGATGACTTTATCACCGATCCGGGCAATCATTCACCTAAGCTCGCTCTTTTCTCCGTTAGCACTGTCCTCGTCCTCCCTCGTGCCCCTTAGCTCAATTCTACCCCGTCGTTCCTAAGGCAAAAGGGAAAGAAAGGGAAAGAAAGAGAAAGAGAGAGAGAGAGAGAGAGAAAGAGAGAAAGAGGCGTTGACGTAATGTATAATAAACGCGCCTTGCGTGTTTGCTTTTCCTTGCTATGCATAACGAACCATCGATAAAGAATGTTAGAATTATTGCACGATATAGAACATAGAATAACAAAAAGCAGCCGCTTTTTCCTAAGCGAAATATCAATATCATTGATTAATATCGTGATTTGAACTGAGATACATATATGCTATTGCCACTGTATTACAGAATTATTTTTTTATAATGATTAATTAAAATCGAGAAATTCTCCTCTTCGAATTTATTTAGGCGAAACATTCGGCATGCTCAATATATATATACATATATATAAATGTGACATTTGTATAGAATTTTTAATATATTTAATATTAACAGGATATATGAATAAGAGAGAGTTAATATTAAATATATGTAAAAATATATAAGCACGATAATATATAATGTAAAAAGTCATTCCAACAATCGTTTTTATTATACCATAAGTACTAAGTAGTGCGAATAATTGCCATTGAAAATCTAAACGTAATATTTCAGGCAATAATAAAACATCGAGACGACACATTGTGTCGAGTCGAAAAACGTATTAATAAACATGCTTTACGCGATTAGCGGCCGCTGTAATCGCGGTAATTGGAAGCGCGGATCCTCAGCACTCATCGTGTCAACATGAAAAAGATTCACGAGGTGGTCCGCGTCGTTGAAGACAGGACCTCCGGGCGATGAGGCGTTCCCGAGTAGGTGTTCCAGGATTATTAACGTCCAAGCGCGACTTGATAAAACCGACGGAAACGATGTATGCATGCATACCTTTACAAATCCCATAGAAAAATGCCGCGGAAACCAATCTGTAATGCCCCGTAAATCCCCAACAAATATACACGACAATTAAATTAAGTCCGATTGTAAATTTGGGAACCGGCATATTTAAAAATTCGGATCCGTTAAATTAACGAAAGACTTGAGCAAATTACACTCGCTGTGTGTGTGCCAATGTCTCGTTTGCTACTCGATGTAGTATTATGTATTATAATTAAATTATTCTGTAGTTTTTACATAATATTTTAAATCTCAATAAATACATATTTTTTGTGAAAAAACGACAAACTATTTCATCAATATCATTTAAAATACTTACGATAATCAATATTTATCTATCATTAATCAAGCATGTTGCTTTGTACAATTTCATGGATTTCTTTCACAGATCGTATTTTTTTTTTTTTTTAATCTATTTGATATATTTCATCTATTTGTGTGAAATACAATCTTTGCATACTCGGTTAATTTTTCGACGAGAAAATCTCGCATATGCCGCCACAGATCATAAGCGCAGACTTTAATGGCAACAAGAAAAAGATAGAAATTGATTTGCGAGCTAATGCAAAGAAATACATTAATTATAAGAGAATTTATATATAGTTCTTTATTTTTTTTTTCGCACCGTTTGCAAGACTCGAATAACAAAAGTTGGTGATAAATTAACTGTGTATTATTATTAATGTAACTGTGTATTATTATTAATATACGCGAATAAGGAATTAATCTAGTACTTTTCACACTATTCTTTTCGTGGAGATTTTCGCCAGGATCAATGTCAAATCTTTGTAAAAAAATGATATCAAAACTATGGCGGTTTGCTCAAATAAAAATGAAACAATAAAACATATATGTAAATAAAAAAGACAACTTTGTCGCAATCCACTATCATTATTGATTGGAACGTATAAAGCTTGATAAAAAACGATATTTTTATTATTTTACACAACGTACTGGTTGCGATATAACTGAAGAAAGTATATATATATATCGCCATTAAATGTTCAATTATTGGAAAAGATAGATGCATGACCGCTAGCATACAAACGCGAGTTCGACAAATTTCAAGAATAGTTTTATACCGAAGATCGATCTTTCCGATCCGATTGTAATATACGGATGTAAGAGTTCCGGAAAGACGCTTCATGTCACACCATACTATCCACGAACCACAAGATTCGCACGAGATACGGCTAGGTACATACTATAAATCGAGATTGTATCTCGTAGTTGCTAGGCACAATCGCAATTGCGTGCTGTTATAAATTAATTCTTGGATTAAATTTAAAAAAAATAATTTAATCTAAAGAATAAAAAAAACTATAGAATTTCAAGATCGACTGCAACAGTCCAATTTACATTTGCAAAATATAAATGTCAATTTACTAAAGTAGGTCTAAATGATATAAAAAAGTTTAAAAATTAAAGAGACAGAAAATTACGAAACATATTATATAGATGCTTTATCGTTTCATAAATTTATTCTGTTTTTGTAGAAGTCGCGTGGGATCGCCGACGATGTCAGCGACTGTCGCCGGCAACCAGCAACAGCAACATCCTCATCAAGAATGGGACATAAACGATTCGAACGTACCGAGGGTAAATTTTTTTTTTTCAATGTTTCAATACGGTATTCATCGTCGGGACGAATCGTATCGCGCGAAATATAAATTTTTTTAAAGCAAACGCTTGGATCAAAAAATTCAATGAAAACTTTGTAGAGATCAAGCCGTATTCTTACAATATCGAAAATGAAATTTTACGTCAGGTAGTGGAATACGATCCTTGGTGTGAATGGGCGGATGGACACGTGAGGAGAGTCTACGGACCGGATTGCGAGGAAGCGAGAAGACACGCCTCCGGTTGGGCGATGAGGAACACCAACAATCATAACGTGAGCATCCTTAAGAAGAGTTGTCTAGGCGTTCTGGTGTGCTCTCAGGAGTGCATACTGCCCGGCGGTGGAAGAGTTCACCTCCGACCGGCGATTTGCGATAAGGTAAACGAACGAAACGATAAATTTAAAAATCCCGATAAAATGTGTCGCGCGGTTGTTGCACGCGTTCGCGCACCGATATTTTATTTTATTTCGCGATAAAAAATTTCGTCCGCTTATTCGCGAGCGCATCGGGGCTCATCATGTTTACAAATATCTGAGATACTATGTAATATTTGTAATTCAATATTCATTTATACGCGGTCTAATTATATTATAAATATTCCGCGTAATTAAACAACATTACGCATCAACATTCCACAATTATAGAATTAAGAATCAAATCGGTACAATAACAAAATAAAACATCGAATTCGACACTCTCGCAATTTACTTTTTGATTTTTCCGCAGGCGAGGAAGAAACAACAGGGCAAACCATGCCCTAATAGGCAGTGCACCGGTCGTTTAGAGATACTATCGTGTCGTGGACATTGCGGTTATCCCGTGACGCATTTTTGGCGGCACACGGAGCACGCGATCTTTTTTCAAGCCAAAGGCCAGCACGATCATCCGCGACCGGAAGCCAAGTCCACATCTGAGGCGAGAAGAAGCGTGGGTGCCGGCAGAAGGGTTAGAGGATTAGCGGTTCTTTTGGCGAGAGAAGCCGCCCTAGGCTCCAAGGTAATTCGCAATTTTGTGTATTTGATCGTAAAAATAATCCGAAAAATTCGCCATTTTTTTGTCGAGATTCCGAATTAAATCTCACGAACAGCAATATATATATATATATATATATACTTTCTTCAATTATATCGGACTGTAAAATAATAATTCCAATTGTGGCTATCAGTTAATTTATAATGTAATCGTATATACGAAACACAAATTAGCTACATCTAAAAATAATAGCTATAAGTAAAAAAAAAGTGACTTATTACCACAAAGAGATTCCATTCGAATTCCGCAATCTCCGGCTGATAAATTGCTCAAGGTTGCACTTTCCTGCAATCGATAAAAAGGAGAAATTATGATTAAAATGAGCGAATTATATTACATTAATTATATGCATGTGTTTCATTACAGTTAATGTCACTGAGAGGAACTAAAAGGTCGAACACGGACACACTCGAGCAGCCGTCGAGAACAACGCAGCCACCACCATTAATCTCTGACAAAGGTTATTACTTTAATGTCTTACTAATCAAAACGTAGAATGTACATTACATAGGCGTCATTAACTGAAATGTGCAAGTATTATATGTATATAGGAAGCGGGAAACCGGCATCTACCGACAAATGCGCGGGTTTAAAAAAAGTAAGCATTCTCGCGAGATTACGCTAGCTATCATTCACACTAAAAATATATTCACGATTAAAAAAGGCACATTAATTTATTATATAAATACTTTAACTTTTACTTAATTATACTTTAACTTAAAAAGATTACAGAGTATATATAGTCCATTTCGAAAGTTAACGAAAATTACAGGAAAAGATTATAATTTATCTGTATATTTCTAATTATCTCAACATATAATAATTTAGTTCATAATATAATTTATAAAATGGAAATCTATTTAATATTAGACAAATTATATAATCCTGCGATTTCTGATCTCGTCACATCGTAAAGTTTAATTCATTCTTCTTTCTCAATTATTTATAACTTTGTAAATGTTGGTCTTTCGTTGGAAATTCTCTATTACCGGAGAAGTTAACCTAAATTTGTCCGAGAATCTGTATCATTAAAATGAAGATATAGTGAGCATACTATGGAACATATTACATTACATATGAAACTTTAAACTTGAACTTAATTTTTTATGGAATTTTATAAACAAATGATCAATTACCAAACACGGTTGTTTTCTCGACGACTGCATTTCGACAGCAGGTTGACGTTTCACGTTGAAGATGCACAATATTCTGTTTCATATACATGTAAATATTAATTAAAATTGATCGACATTTAATTCGCGACACTTTCGACTTTATCGATGTTTCTCGTTACATGCCCGATGGCAAAGTGAATACGATACTCGGAAACTCGTAATCTCGGTGCTCACGTCGTTAAGCGAAAGACGCGAATTCTTACAAGAACCAACATATATTGTTGAAAAACAATGGAATGGATTATTTGTGCAAATTACTACTTGTTTACTTCAAATTTTGGAAATATTATGAAGATAAACTGTACCGTGACCGTGACCACTTTCTACCGTTAATGAATATCTCAATATCTCAAGCGCGCGAAACCACCGTAAACATATTGCGCAAACGTCACGCGCAAGTCGTCAGTAAAAGTGCGTTCGTAAATCTTACTCGTTGGGTACAGTAACGTTTAATCGACCAATCAGGACAGAGAAATCTTTGCTCCTTGTATCCTGATTGGTTAATTAAACTATTCTACCCTGGGAATAGGATTTCGAAACGCACTCTTAACCCCAGCTTGCGATTGGCTAGCTTCAATCCTTGTATTTCAAAAATTATTGCGCGAATTATATGAAACAAAAATCACGATCTTTTTTTACTCGACTCTTCGAAAGCTTTCTCGCTATAACGTTTCGATTCATATTAAATTTGCATGTAATTTTAGGATCCCGTATACGCATAAGACGCATTAAATTTTCACAGACTTTGAGTGTAATAACAACACTTTTACGTAATTAGATACGAGAAATAAACTAATCTTTTATCAATTACCAATAATTATTTATAGTTACTTTTTACTTTCTTAATAATTTTTAATTTTTATGAATAAAAAATTATATATCCTAAATTTTTTTATTATAATTATAATGGAAATTTTATTTATTTTATCCTTAAATATTATATATATCCACCCAAGCATTATTATTATTATTATTATCATATTAATCTATAAAACAATAATTTGTCTAAATGTATCTATGTAAATATCAAATTATCAATATTCTATTATATAAGAAACGTATAGTAAAAAATATATAAATCATTCTTTCGATGCTGTTGTAGGATATTCATGCTCCTGTCCACCCTTCGAGTGTATATGTTCGCTACAAACTACCATACCGTCTTACCCGCAGTCTCATCATCAGACAACGGTATATCCCCAACAACTGTCCTCCACAGACGGATCTTACTGGATGCAGAACGCTCCGCCGCAGGAGGACACTGTTGGTTATTGTCTACCGAATCAAGTTCCTCAGGAGGCTTACAGCGATTTTCCACGCGATCCCTTTACGGGGGATCTCTTTCAACCGGAGGAGATCTTTCAATTGGATCAACCATTGAGACCGGATTTTTCTGCAAATCCCCAGGACATGGCTCGTTCACCACCAACTCTGCTCGATCTCGGCAGCGGTACCATCAAATACGAAGTAAAGCAACACGATCAAACCTACTGGAATCAGTTTCTTAGCGAAGATTCCAGCAGCAGTCATTTGAGCCTGTCCCAGGACGAAAGATTTCATTTTACCGGCTTCGAATCTGAGAAAGTTTCCAATGGATTTCCTTCTAGAAAAACGATGCACCATTACGTTCTGCAAGAAAAGAATCAAAATCAATCTATGAATGATGCTCTGAACTATCAGAGTTATTCTAGATCGCAAAATCAAAAGAGCTTCATCGAAGGAAGCGCGAAGGACGAGCACGAACAGTCTTACTGGTCTCAAAATCAACAAGACAATAGATTACATTTGGAAGGCTTTGAAGTCAAGGAGGAAGACTTATTGGCCTCACGCAGGGAAGTCGAATGTTACAAGAACAGTTGTCAATCCCCGATTATAGGTAGAACGGAATACAATCTCTACCAGAAGCCGAAGAGCGAGGATCAACACGATACGGCGCGACGTAATTGCAGCTCCGAACAAGATAAGCCGTATACCTTTGACGGATACCACCATATGTTCGAGCACGCCGACAGCAAGAACCAATCGCACAACCGCGTTGTTCATCAGAACTCGTCCAGATTAAACTTGGATGACAGACTTCAAGGCAGTTATGATAATCAGGAGACTCCGGAAATCGCAGAGAGGCTATTCCATAACTCCGGCGTGGCGGAAACGTCTGTCCTCCGTTCTCAAAACAGCCCCGAGACTTTCTTTTATCCCAGCAACGACCGTTGCCATTATACTTGCGAGATCGTCGAGCGGATGCCACAGATGACGAGTACCGGACCAACTCATGAAACCGTCAATAATTACGGCGATCAGATTGCCGCTGACTTAGATCTGCCACCTTTCGTAGATTACACACTAGTCGGGATGCTGTGCAGTTCCACAGATGAGGACACATCGAGTCTGCTACCTTCGGGATGTCCTCAAGACTCACATAGCTACATTCCTCATCATTAGAATACAGTCCGCCGCCACTATTCAATATATTATACATATTTGTATTATACAATAAATATATAACATAGTGTCGCCAGCCTTTCTCTCTTAGAGATGATAGACTCGATCATTTGCTTCTTGTAACCAATTTACATTTGAGAATATTTCCTGAAAATTATCTTTGATTAGTCTAAATGCAAATTTCGAGGATTTCAGGGGGATCAAAAAGCAGAATCGACGCAATTTAAAAAGAGGTCACATGATTTATTTGCAACTGATTTATTCGCAACAGATACTCTCACGATCACATTGTTATGTGTATGTATTATGCAATATTATTTTGCTATTATATACCTATGTGTTACACTTTCTTCATTACACATGCGCAATATCTCTTTTACTTTTACGAGAGTGTTATTATTATAAAAACGAACGAAACGTATGCTAACAGAACAAAAACTTGTCCGTGCAATTATAGGCTTGCCAGGACAAGAATTTTAAATAATGCATCGTTGGAAAAAGTGCTATCGAGGG